TATATTCTTTACCCATAGCTATATCTCAGTTTTTTATTACATATATTTTCTTCAATTGCTATTTAATATTTACTACAACCACTAAAATGTAAGCTCAGTGAAGGCATGGAATATAGTCATGGTCAGAACATAAGTTTTAAAGTTGGGCAGGAACCAATTCAAGGATTGATCTTTTGTGTCACACTAAGAGGTTTGTGTTTTATCTTAGGGGCCCCTGAGAACTATTGGAAAAATTTAAGCAAGGTGGGGGCATGTTCAGAATTTGATTTAGAATGGTCTTTATAAACTCCAGTGGAGTAAGGATAAGATAGGAATAAGACCAGAGGCAAAGAGACTAGGTAAGACATTATTGAAATGATTCAGGTGAGGAAGGTTGAGGGCAGAAGTAAGGCATATGAGGAGAGGCTGACTTGTGTAAACTTCAAGGCGAGGGAGGACTGAAGAAACAGTCCCCATTTTTCCTGTATGGAGCCCTACTCCCATGCAACCAGCAGGCAGGCACCATGTTTCCTGTGTTGAGCCCACCCCCACAGGGCAAATCTGAATCTGATTTTGGCCTGGTGAGCTCCACTGCTCCACCTGCTGACTCACTGAGACCCTGCCTCACCCAACTTGTGCACTGCTGGAGGCTTTATCAGCAGCTGAGCCTTATGGGAGCCAGCATGTGATAGCAGGCCTCAGAATGTCCTGGCTTTCTGTGGAGCTACCCAAGATCCAGTGCTGGGGTCAGCCATTCTCAGTTCACAGTGTGACCTCTCCAACATGCCCCCAGGTACAGCATAGACAGTGACCGACTGTGGATAACTTTGTAGCTCCTACCAGGACTCCCTGGCCAGTATAGGCAGTGAGCCCCTTCCAAGAGACCCCAGAACCAACATACTTGGAGGCTGGCATCAGACCACAGCAGAGAACCACCAAATTAGCCCCACAAGTGACACACACAAAGGGTGGTCTCAACAGGCACCAGAGCCCAGTGGGAGGAATCTCATTCTGTGGGGTAAGCCCCCCACATAACAGCCCATTAGCTGTGGACATGGCCAAACCCCACAGCAGTCAGTCTGAGGGTTCATCCCACCCACTGACATTCAAACAGCAATCAAGGCTCAACTATAACAGGAGGACACACACAACCCACACAAAGGGCACTCCTAGAACGCCCATCACAGGTGATCAGAGAGACTGTGCCACTGGACCCACAGGACACCTAGTATATGAAGCCACTTGGCAACACTGGGAGACATAGCAGCCCTACCTAATACATAGAAACAAACACTCAGAGGCAGCCAAAATGAGGAAACAAAGAAATATGTTCCAAATGAAAAAACAGGAGAAAACTATAGAAAAAGAACTAAATGAAATGGAGGCAAGGAAACTACCACATACAGAGTTCAAAATAATGGTTACAAAAATGCTCAAGGAACTTAGTGAAAACTTTAACAAAAAGATAGCAAGCATAAAAAGGACATAGAAACCATTAAAAAAAAGTCAGAAGAATAGAATAACTAAACTTAAAAGTACATTAGAAGGAATCACCATCAGACTAGATGAAGCAGAGGATCAAATCAGAGATATGGAAGACAGGGTAGCAAAAAAGACTCAATTGGAACAGAAAAAAGAGAAAAGAATAAAAAGAAAAATGAGAATAGTTTAAGAGACCTCTGGGACAACATCAAGCACGATAACATTTGCATCATAGGGGTGCCAGAAGGAGAAGAGAGAAAACAAGGGATTGAGGACTTACTTGAAGAAATAATGACTAAAAACTTTCCTAACCTGAATAAAATAGATATACAAGCCCAGCAAGTGCAGAGAGTACCAAATAGAATGAATCTAAACAGGCCGACAAGACACATTATAATTATTATAGAATGGCAAAGGTTAAAAAGAAAGAGAATCCTAAAAGCAGCAAGAGAAAGGCAACTAGTAATTTATGCGAGAGCTCATATTCGAAGTGGTGAAAAACAAGGACCCACAACCAAGGGTATTTTAGTCAGGAGGATCACTTCTTAAATTATATAAATGTCTAACTACTATGCTGTACACCTGAAACCAACATAAAATAATATTCAATTTTAACTGTAACTGAAAAAAATTAAAAAGGGGGAAAACAGTGAAGGGCAATAAGTGGTCCAAATCTCCAGGTATAAAGCAAATAAGTCATGGGATATATGGGTACAACATAGGGAATATAGTCAATAATGTTGTGATAGCATGGTAGTGTGTCATATGATCAGTGGTCTTATCATGGTGATTGCTTCTTTAGGTAAATAAATGTGAATAACTATTATGTACACCTGAAACTATATAATATTGTATGATAACTATATTTTTAAATAAAAATCTTAAAAAAAACAGACTGAAATGTCTCTCTCTAAAGCACATGCTCTTTATTGCCTCAATCAGAAGATAGTAGTTTTTTTTGTTTTGTTTTGTTTTGTTTTACCTTTACAGAAAGGTCAATTAAACAAGGGTATGGAAGTGTTCTCTGGAGTTAGCAGTTAGGAAGCCTATCACATTTCTAGCAAGGTTTCAGTGGGTAGCAAGGTTTTAAAGGAAGGCTGACTTCAATGTTGCAGCAGTGGTAAATGGGGAATAGATGAAAAGATGTATATGAATAAGCAGCAGGGAATACAGATCTGGGATTTTAATGTGGAAGATAATTGAGTATGATTATATTCTAAAGAGGTGTTGGTACAGTGGAGAGAGGAAATAATTAATGAAACCAGGGTCCCTGAGAAGGTGAAAGGGGATAAGATTCACAGAAACATTGGAGAGGTAATCACTGTCTCCCCTTCAATGTAAAGGCAAGAAAGTAAAACTGGTGTTGACAATTGGTTTTGGCTGTGAGGGGCAAAAACAAAAGCTCCTGCATTATTTATGTTTCTCAGATTATTCTCATATTCAGGATGTACCTTTATATTCTAAGTAAACATGTTCTCACTTGTGTTTATTTGTAATAAGACCAGATGTTCCATCTGATGAAACCAAACAATTGGAAAAGAACAGAAAGTTGGAAACTCTCAGAACAAAATGAAGATAGGATTAAAAATGACATAGAATGAGGAAAAGGAAATCACAAGCAGAAAATGAGCTGGAAGTAACAAGTCAGAGTGGTGTTGGCAAATCCTTTCAGGGTGAGAATGGTTTAACTTGTGCCTCAGTAACCTAGAACAAAGGGCTGAGAAAAATCCTTCATCCCAATCTGTATTAGGAAACTGTCAACTACACAGAAGTCACCTGTTTTCTCAGTGATTCACATTCCTTAGAGAGGGAGCTCTCATTTGGTCTAGGATGGTACTAAGAAAGCAACAACAACCACCAAGATAGATATCTGTAGGTGGTAGACAGACAGACATGTTAGATAGATAGATAGATAGATAGATAGATAGATAGATAGATAGATAGATAGATAGATAGATAGATGATAGATAAACAGATAGACCGCCCATTTTGAAAACTTGATAATTTCCATATTTCTTAGTTAAATTAATGGGCTCTTTAAATCTGAATGGCATTGTGTAACCATTAGCTCTTGGTCTGTGGTTGACTAAAATAGAGGACCTTTTGCAAACTGTAATGTCTCCCAGCTTGAGTATGCTTGGTATGCTTGCTTTTGAGTGATTTTCATCATTGAAATGGACTCCTTGCATTAGGATGTGAAAGAAAAAGGGGAAAGGTCTGCTTCCCACATAAAGCATTCCCCCATCCCTGAGCAATGGCAGGGAAGTGGCAGTCAAGGATGACAACTTGACTCCTGCACTTTGAAACAGTCTTAATGAAATTTTGCTTGCTTTGAAAACTATTTGAAAAAGTATTGACGTGCTAGGATTCAATTTCAGATTTACTCCCATTCATATGAAAAGGTATGAAAAAGCATCTCTCCCTCCTGTTTTTGATTCAGACTACACAGAGGAGGTAAGTATAGTAAGTCAGAGATCAGATTTATTCCTGGATCAGTTCCTGATTGGCTAGCCCAGCCAAGCACTGTGATGACATCACCGGCATCTGGCAAATGAAGGACTTAAACCTGATGACTCTAAAGATACTTTCCATCTGAAAAGTTTTCTACTATCTGAATTTAAGTAATTATGTACATAGCTAATCCAAAGGACCATTTTCATATTGTTCCATAAAAATGGAATATACATATTTGGCTTTGATAAATGTGCTATATTTCAAGCTACCATTGAAAAAAACATCTAATGAAAGGTTATATGCTAAATATTATTTCACCAGAGAGAGAGGTGTTACTTAACAGATAATAGAATAATTACCAGTAAATTCAATTATAAGGAGTTCTTCTCTTTGTTCTTCCTTTCTGGATATTAAGAATAAACTGTGAAATTTGAGTTTCTTGCTTAGAACTTCTTTCATAAAGTATCACCACTAGTTTTAGTAGGAGCCTTGAACTAATACTTAAACATTTCTCTGTATTGTGAAGTCTGTACTAAAACCTGAGTTGATCAACTATATTAAAGAAAGGTGGCTTACATTAGAAGAAAGTAATGGATCATCTAAAGGCCAAAGCATTTTTTAAGTGCTCTCTAAAGAACTGTCAATGTTTCGGTGTTGTCTTCAGCTGTGGCTTAACACATATATTTACACTATTATATCAGAGTGATTTTTAGACAGGAAGTTTTCTGCTCTGTAATTAACATTCCACAATGGAAGCTCTGACACTTAATTAAAGCATTGCTAAGACAATAACAATAATATGAGAAATACTAAAGCTGAATGTAGTATTTCTTGACACACCTCTGGCTACCTTCTTATTGGCTGGGAAACAATTATATATGACTAGTAAATAATCCATACAGAAATGAATGTGTGTGTACAAAGGCTGCGTGCATTTACAGCAGGTACTTCGAGTTGGGCCAAGTTTAGTCACTGCTGCCAACTTGGACTAAAACGTTATGGGGAGTAACAGCGAGAAACATCACCAGAGACTGCTGTAGACTCAAAGAGGCCTCCACCTGCTGGATCTTCAGCAGCTCCCATTCCAGATCGGATCAGTCTTCAAAGCAAAGGCGATGGCATTTTATCCCCTGCAAATTGCTGGACTGGTTCTTGGCTTTCTCGGCATGGTCGGGACTCTTACCACAACCCTTCTGCCTCAGTGGAGAGTATCAGCTTATGTTGGCAGCAACATTATTGTCTTTGAAAGGCTCTGGGAAGGGCTCTGGATGAACTGTGTCCGACAAGCCAAGATCACGTTGCAGTGCAAGTTCTATAGTTCTTTGCTGGCTCTCCCACCTGCCTTAGAAGCAGCCCGGGCCCTCATGTGTGTGGCTGTGGCTCTCTCCTTGATTGCTCTGCTTATTGGCATCTGTGGCATGAAGCAGGTCCAGTGCACGGGCTCGGATGCGAGGGCCAAAGCATACCTTCTGGGGACTTCCGGAGTTCTCTTCATCCTGACGGGCATCTTGGTTCTGATTCCGGTGTGCTGGACAGCCAATATCATCATCAGGGATTTCTACAACCCAGCCGTCCATGTAGGTCAGAAACGAGAGCTGGGAGCAGCACTTTTCGTCGGCTGGGCAAGCGCCGCTGTCCTCCTCATAGGAGGGGGTCTGCTCTGTGGTTTCTGCTGTTGCAACAGGAAGAAGGAAACGCACAGGTATCCAGCCCCTGGGAATTGTGTCCCATACACAGATAAGCGAAGGAACACGAGAATGCCGAATAAGACCTCCACCAGTTATGTCTAATGCCTGTTTCTGGCTCAAACTATGGATTACTGTCAATGTGTTTTATAAAGTCCTGCTACAAACTGTAAGTACATCAGGCAGGAGGACTTGCTGTATGACTGCATTTAAATTGAGATGAAAAGTATAAAGGGTGTATAGATTGTAATTTGTCACCTGTGGTAGGAATAGAAATGACTTACTTTGGACATTCTGACATCGTATATTCAATGTATTTACTATTATCGGACTCAAATAATCTCCACTCCAATTTGTGTAGCCTAAAATCAAGTAGATCCACAGTCTTAGTGTAATGATAGACTACCCTTTTTTGACAACCATATATTATTCACTAAGAAATCCAAATGATGTTGCAATGGATAATGCATAGCAATAAAACATATCCTAAAACAAAATCTAAGTTATTTTTCCTCCAAATTATTTCTTACACTAACAACTAAAATGATAACCTTTTAAAACAATTATCCTGAAAAATAATAGACATAAAATAAGAATTTTAATTAAATTTAGCAAAATATGGAAATGCGCATCCAATGAAAAGATTTGTTATTCCTTTAGGAAACTCAAATGCACTAGCAATTAAAGATTTTGGGGGAAAAGGAGCTCTGATTTATTTTAGTTCATTTAAGAAGATGGCTTTTAAATCATCTAATTTACATGGTTAAACTTGCTTAGAATTATATATTCAAAAAATTATAAATGAGACGTAATATGCTTTCATAGCCTATGATTTGCACCTACAAACAAACAGAAGTATCTATCTTGATAAGGCACATCAATAGAAAACTGTGGACACTCAATTCTCATCAAGAGGAAATACAGTTCCAAATAGAGACTTGAGTTGTGGGTGCTGAAGCAATAGTTTCTGTTCCTCATTTTATTCTTTAGTCATTGTACAGGTCTACACATGCAAATTAAAATGAAGAATGAAGGTAATGATTCAGGCAATTAGTCAGGCTAAAATAAGTACCTCCGTTTTTGTTCTCTAATAAATAAATAGGTATGGCTAAAACATTTTGTTTTACTTGAGTTATATGCATTGTTTTCTCAGCTTTTCACTTCCATGTATTCAAGCCAGTATCAGGGTAAAATGTGTGGCGGGTGGGGTGGAGATGGGGAGAGAGGGCTTGTGGGGCAAGACCATTCCTATGAGTTGTTTCAGAATATCTCTAATGTTGTGAGCCAAACAATGTTTATATATTCAACTTTAACTCTTCAAATGTTGTGTTTATTTTGTAATAAAAATGTATTTAATTTATAGTACAAACTTTCAATGAACAGATTAGATGTGTTCACCAAATATTTATTGCATGTCTATCCTTATTATAATAAAACAGCTATTTTCAATGATGCTGATGTGTTGAACTGTGCAGTTGATTTCAGAATGAATTTCCATCTTTGAAAGATCATCTTGCAAAGCAGAAACATTAGCTCAGAGGTAACCCAGGGCTAGATGTTAATGTGAAGCCCTCACTACATTCTACAAACTACCAGCAAGACTTCAGTAAGTCAAACCCTTGATAATATAAAAACTGTATTATAAACATCAGTAGTTCACTAATGATAAAGGCTACAAAGATGTCAATATCTTCAAGAAAAACAATGATTTATTGTTTTTTTCCCTAAGATTGTTTTCTTCTTCAGACTTAATTCAGAAAGACCTTCATATGGGAGGTGTTCAAAAGAAGTAATTTATCTTATATGGGCAAATAAGACGTCAAGACAAACAAGATATTCTCCTAAATTTTCATGAAATCATTTATTTTTACCCTTTGGCTCACTAGAAGAAATGATTAGCCCTGCAGTATGGGTTCCCAAAGTCTAAATGAGGCACACTGTCCTGATAGCCAGAGGATCAAAGAGTAAAAGATGTAACACTGGGTGGAATCATAAAATTACTAGAGCTAAAATTAGCTACTGAATGTGGGGCAAAATTTCTTCTGCTTGCACTTTCGTTAATCAAGATGTACTTCTAGAAAAAAAAATTCCACCTCCCCTCTCTGTTGCAATATTTTCCCTATTACAGCTACAATTTTTTAAAATAAACTTTTAAAGAATTTCAAGATGCAGTATGATTGTAAATCTCACACCACAAAATCCAAATGTGCAAGAAATGAATCTTTATTTTCTAAAATTTAACTTAAAACTCAACGTCTTGGGTATTTTACCATACATTACACAGTTTTGGGGGTCTTATATAGGTATAAGCACCACTTAAGGTGGTGGGTTCAGGGTATCAATTCATCATCATCAGTTTATACAGGTTACTGAGAAAATGACTATTGGTAAATATTTTGCTTACCTTGGTTCAGTTGTCATTTCAAATGGAGAATGCAGCCAAGAAATCAAGAGAAACCTGAGACTCGAAAAAGCCACAAGGGAAGAATTAGGAAAGATTATCAAGAGAAAGGCTATGTCCTGAGACCAATGCTGAGATCATCCACTCCCTCATAATCTTGATTACTATGTATAAGCGTGCAAGTTGGACAGTGGAGAAGGCCGGTAGGAAATAACTGATTCACATGGTGATGGAGGAGGGCTCTATGGACTGCCAGAAAGACGAAAAAGTACGTCTGAGAGCAAATTAGGCCTGACATATTGCTGGAGGAAAAGAAAACAAAACTGAAGTTGTCCTATTTCAGGCATATCATGAGAAGGCAGGGTTCTTTGGAAAAGACAATACTTCTGGGAAAAATAGAAGGCAGTAGGAAAAGAGGAAGACCAAATATGAGATGCATTGGCTACATAAAAGAAACATGAGCATAAGTCTGCAGGAGCTGAGCAGGGCTGTGAGGACAGGACAGTGTAGACGTCACTCATTCACAGGGTTGCTGGGAGACAAAGCCAACTCAGTGGCACATAACACATACAATTATACCTGCCATGTGGTCTTTTTAGGTTTCTTTGCCCTGTCAATTGTCTGTCATGCTAGGCAATCTTTTTTGAGACTTTCTTTTTCTGGGCTGCTCAGATCAGTGCATTTTAACCCTGACTGCATATTAGAATTGCTAGGGGGACTTTGAAAACTACCAAGCCAGCCAGTTGCAAGATGATCGATGTCACCCTTTTTTAGAGTCACAGCAGGAACGTAACTTGCTGACTTGACTACCAGCTGTCTACAAGCAGTGGTGAAGAAAATTGTTCTTCCTCTCATAAGATTATTTTTTTTAATATTACCTCCACAAATCTTCTTCTCTATTGTCAAAAGTTTACACAATGACATAGAGGTTTAGGCTTTCAGAAGCAAAAATGCATAAATAAAGACTAAAAGTCTTGCAGGCTATTTTGCCTTCAGTTTTCCTGTATGTTCCACTGACCCAGTGAAATGCATTGCTGGCTACTTTCTAGAATGGAGACCATGGGAAGGGGGGAAATATAATATTACCCAGTTACACATGGTTTAAAATGTTTTAAAAGATTAGCCCTTTGTAGTTTACAAATTTAATTAAATGCACACTAATAATTCTTTTCATTTGCAAAAAGAAATCTTAATATATTTTAAAACATTTTGTTGGACTTGATTGCTTTTCACAATGATCATATAATGTAGATGGTAGATATCATTATCAACACGTTTCAATGAAGAGAACTGAAACTCATAAGGTTGTATAACTTGGTCAAAGTAACATAGCTAACATGAAGAAATCAAGAAGTCAACAATAGTACTAAGTAGAGATCATAAATATTTAAGGAGTGATCAAGAAACAATATACATGCAGTATAATAGTGTGAGATTTTAGCTAATACGGAGCTCCTTCTCCTACAGAAAAGAGATAGAACTATAGAAGTCAGAAATTTAAAAACAGTTCTTGGTTTTTAGTCTGAAAGTTCTAAATTCTGAGGAGATTGTGGGCAAAGAATATAATGGCTCAGTCAGAACCAGGATTTTCTCACTCTTAAGACTATAAAATGACTTCTTTGGGCAAAGATAAAAAGAAGCAGAGTTAAGAGGGTCAGGATATTAATATTTCCCAGGGAAGGACCCTGCGACCTCTTCCAAGTCCAGTTCTTGAGGAATGGGCACAGAGAAATGATGAACCATCAGATGGGTTTGAGAATTTCAGGGCAGAAATGATCTGTGTCCTGACCCAGGTGAAGCCAAAGATGTTGAGTTTTCCTCTCAGCACTGGGGAATAAAAAACAAGCCTCTGATGTATTTAGTCTGACAGGACAAGAGCTAATCTTGCCAAATTTCCCACAACTTGAACTTTATAGGAAAAGAAGAGAATTTCCTATTCACTTGAAAGTGATACAGAGTATTGAAAAAGTCCAAGTCATTAGGACTAAGTAAAAACACAGCAGTAACTAACACCCATGGATGGGTAAGTGGGCCTGTCCATGGCCTGTTTGTCCTGAGCCTCACTCCTTGTCTTTTCTTAGCTCTAATCTGTATCCTAAGGAGGTGAATTCCCATGGGCTGTGCAGTGGTGTGCCAAGAATGGGCAGTGAGAGAAACGCTCACCAGGTAGAAGCAATAAGAGGTAACTCTATCTGTAGAGAATTTACAAACAATAATAAAACCAGCTTAATATTGGGTCTGTTCATTATCTTCACATGCTGTCCTTCTAAACAATGTCAGCGATAAAGCACTTCTGCTCAAAAAAACAATAAACTGTGTTTGGTCTAGGCCCTGAACAATCACTATAGTTAATGTTTAGATAGATAGATAAATGATAATAATAATAATAATAATAGATAAATAGATGATAGACAGATCAATGGTAGATAGCTTTATAGGTGATAAATATACATGATAGATAGATAGATGATAGATAGATAGATAGATAGATAGATAGATGATAGACAGATAAATAGATAGACTACAGTGAGCCCTGACACATGACCACATGCATTTGTTTCAAGAGTAAATGGAGTTTTTCCCCAGATTCAGATTTAGCAAGGCATGTTTTTCAAATCATTGCTCTCCAGCTACTCTTTTATTATTCAATTTTTAACACAATAAAAATTCCTCATCACCATAAACTAACAGCATAAAGTAATTCAAGCTCTGTTTTT